GCAGGCCGCTCGGCCGTCGGAGCCGCTCGCTGGGAACTCTCACGCCGCGCCGCCCGCCGAATTCTTCTTCTCCCGAAACGCACGCGGCGTGCCGTACCGCCCACGCCGTCGCGTGCGCCGCCCGACGAGGAGGTAAAGCCCGAGAGTGGTATGGTGTACGAGGTGTTGGACACTTTCGGTGGGACCGCTCAACATGCGTATGTGCAACTGCTTAACGGAATCCTGACGTACACAGATAATTTGTGTAAGGTTAAGGGAGAAGAGTGATTTTCAAGCCATACAGAAGCCTTGATATTCACATACATTGTAATTGATATTTGCAATAAATATTTCGAAATGTATGCGAAAAGATTTAAATGACACTTGGGTGTCGGAGCAGTTGTGTTTCTGCGTCGTGCGGACGATTTTGCCTCCCTGCCGCGGCTCTGAAGACCTGTAGTGCTCACTGATGAAGTTCAAGCCTTGACTGCATCATACTCCAGTAAATATCATTACTAGGAGGAGTTTTGATAACCTAAAAAGTTGCTAAAAATTGTCAATAAAATGTTCTTAAAACAATTTTAAAATGCCTTAAAAACAAAAGAGAAATGACGTAAAAAATTTGATCAAAACCACTTCTGATGAACAACTTAAGATGTTGCGTATGTTATTGATGTAATCGAGGCTTCTACCTTTCCATTCAAGCGAACTCAGCTTGCAAACTTTTTGTTTGGACTGATCTTAAAAAGAAAATCTCTGCCCTTATTTATCGCGAAATTGGCCGAACTGACAACGGCGCCGATAGGCGTTACAGAAACCTTACATTATGTAGTACTCACAACGGCTGACAGCGAAGAAATGGAAAAGGCTACTCAGGATTCTGTGGTAACATTTATTGCATCTCGTAAATTTTGTTTGAAACAAGTACGATTAAAATAGTAGTAAAATCGATGAAATGAGCGGAAAATGCAGTAAAAATTAAGTAAAAGGGTAAAAAAGTGACTAATTAGTCGAAATCGACAGAAAATGAAAAAAGAAAAAAAATACGTATAAAAATTGGCCATTTCGTTTTGTCACAACATAAAATGAATTTCTATTCTAAACGACATTGTCCTGAAGGAGAAAAATCATGAAAATCTCTCTAATCATTACGGTGATCACGGAAACGTTTCGGGATCTGGATCCATGCAAAGGAGAACTCTATTTAGAGCATAATGAAACATCATGCTCATCGCAATTTAAGTGTGTAAATCATGTTGTATATTGATTTATAATTCGAATTGTAAAGTGTTTTCTTAATTTTCTCTCTCCAGTTTTCCCGAGGCAGCTGTGTACACGCATTGACTGCGTGCCTTAATAATGAAGAGCAAGGAATTAAAATATTTAATAATGAAAGTGAAGCAGAGGTTCAAAATATGTTGCACTGTAGCAATTTCTGAAAATTTTAATAATAAAAAAATAACTCTTAACTTGTCTACAAGAGCACTTTGTCCAAAGGTTTAAAAGTGTTAGCTTCGAATAAAGTATCTTGAAGTTTCAAAAATACTTGGAAATTCACAGGGCCTCACCTGGAACCAGATCACACGGAGAATACATTTTTGAAGAATATATTCGATTTCAGCTCTAAGTTTGTTTGCGTAGATAAAGTGTTGTATTACTTCATTATTTTATTATATCGTCGAATCCCTTTGTCAGAATACCATTAAATAAGTAGTACTATCGGAAGATTGTATAAACTTAAGTTTATTTTCCCTTTAAGCCAAAGATAAATCACGTAAATCCCTGTTGATGTGCAAAAGTTGAAGCTGAAAAAGCATTTAAAGAAATATTCACGACTCTTTGTATAGCCTCCTTTAATTTCTACTCGGTTAAAAATAATTAAACTTAAATGAAAGATTTGCATTTTGTAGGTCTCATGATACATTGACCAAATAGATAGTACCGCCTTGAAGCTGAAGAAAACGCAGTAATAAAAACGCAGACCCAAATGTTTGAACTCTGGGGTAAGTTATTATCAAGGCAGAAGTTTCGTATTACGCTCCAGTTCGGAACTAACTCCGGGACTGCGTAATACCCTCATAAAACATGGAATCGTCAAGGCGTTGCGATATTCTGTGAAAGGATTGCGGAAGCCAACGAATTCAGACGATAAGACAATCTTTGCAGTATGCTAAGCTTGGAGATGATACAAAGTTTGACGAGTAGTTAAATGTCTGAAATACATTTCTGGACGCTCTCTTTGACTGTACAATTGAACAGAGTGATTAGATATAATCTATTCGAGAAACGTAAATAATGACTGCAAATAAATGTGAGCGAAAGACCAGAAGGATTGTGTTCCGATAAGTCCTCCCGTCCAAGACGTTCGTCCGTGGGCAGGCGAGAGTGAAGATGGCAGGCGGGCGGAGGTTGCGCCGCGTCAGCCGCAGCGGAGAAAAGGAAGGGCGATCGGCCGAGCGGAGAGCGAGCGCCACCCACCTGCGCTTTGCTGCCCCCGGCATCTGCCGTGGAGTGGCGAGCCATGTTCACAAATTAATACGAGCGACAGGTGTGCAATCGATTGTGTGGCACAGGTTGTGACGGCCTGCAATATACATCAGCATCTGCAAATGTCCACCTGTGGCTGTATTATTTGCCAAATTATTTTGTCTGCTCTTTGTCAGTTTATTTGTATCGCTGAAAATTTATGCTGACGTACTGGTGAAAGAGTAAGGAATTTCCGTTTCTCTTGTGAAATGTGACAGTCTCAAATCTCTGCAAACTATACATCTTAGAAGAGATGCGTCATCGACAACAACACATCGATGTTGCCAAATATCAATGTTCAAAATAAAAACATGAATATTTGTACATTGATCGAAAACCATCGATGTTTTAAAGTTTGTTTAGAAACCCTAACATAAAATTCGTGCGTAATAACTTTTTTGTCAGCGATCTTATATATTAATTTATAATTAAAATTTAACTGAAACCAAAATTTATAAAACACCTCGACATGTCATCTTGGGCGAGGGATAGTCTGCTCGATGAAGGTAATGGTGCCATCAGCTCTCATTTTTAACTTCTATAAAAGTGTGATTATGGGAATCTTTCATCCTCGAACAAAACATCGAAAACGTAAAAACATCGAGCACAAAACACAATGTTCAAACAACATCGACATCGATGTCGCATCCCTACTTCTTAGCTCTTGTCAAGCAACATTGTTCCAAATAGCTGCTACTTCTTACTTCATGTCATTTGCTCTGATTTCTTCCAGTGGCTTTGAGTATGCTTCACAAATATTGCTTCCTCGTATCACTTTCGTACATTGTGACTTTGCGTACATTGATGCGACTTTGTTGTTTTTTTTTTAAATTATCGCATCATCCATTATTTTCATTCAAGATTATTTAAGTGACTGACATGAAAACCGAATATATTTTGAATAAATACTTACTCCAGAAAAAATAATGTTAATTAGCAACGCTGTATACAGTGCTGCATCGACATTGGGTCGGTATTATCGACTACCACTTTCTCCATGAAATTTACAATTAATTCTATCTGACATTTTGTTTTTGATGCATTATTTAAAAATCTTTATGATTGCATCGTTATTTTAAGAGAGAAGTATTTTGACGGATACTTTCAGATGTTAGTAGACGGATATCAGTTCAGCTACATTACAGAATTTGTATTCTTATTCTTCCGAATGGATAGAATGGGGAAAAGATTGTAAGGTTGCGTTAAATTAAGAATACTTTGTGGATGTAAACCCGTAAAGCGAGTGTGAACAGAGAATACTGAACTGTAGAATTCCTTCCCGGATGTCTAGAGTCCCTACCACACAATGTACTGAGTCAATCGAAAAGTTTGACAGAACAGTCTCGTACTTTCTCGGAGCGAACTGCTCCTCTCTCTCCTGTGCATCCGACACAGCGAGATATCGCCTCGTGTAACGAGTCATTCACTTCGTGCAGAGCATTACCAACAGCGCGTTGTGTGGCTTCACAGAGATGTCTGGGTAGGCTCGGGATGTTAGACGGAGCTGGCCTTATCGCTGGAGCTTTAGTGCTACACGCAAGAGATCGAAAATAGACGAGTATGAGTGGCTCGTTTCCGTCACGTCTGTCAGGAATAACCTACGAAGATGGTGAACAGAACCATCCATGAAATTTAGCAGTCGAGACCCTGTAATTGTTATTTTTACGGGACTACTATGAGTAGTTCAGTTCAGCGAAGTGTATATTATGATGCACCATGCGAATGTTTACAATATGCGTCAAACGTTTTCTCGCGTCCATTGATCTTAGCTTCAGAACTTTGCTATGAACAATCCTTGCTTGACTGCAGGTGTCACATATTCAAGTTCGCTACATGATGATGTTGCAAGTGCAAGTCTTCGTGAAAAAGGAGTTTGTAGTATTTGAACTCGTTCTGAAAACACGAATGGAATTAAGAGCATAAAGGAACATTAACCTAGTTTTTCGTTGTATGTAACCTCAAAGAGAGAATTATTTCAATCTTAACACAAAAGTACCTTCTTCTGTACTACTATGGTAATGCTCTTGCTTGCTCTTGTGCTACACAGTGTGTCATTTTACCAAAGAATTCTTGATATGACTGGTATTTATGTTGCATATATTATCTTATTCAAATACTCAATTTATTACAATTTATTAGTTACATATTCTTTTTAGACAGCTTTTTTTTATTGCCCATTAATCTAAGGATTTTGGAGGGTCTCGATGAAAAGTTTTATATGTTATCAAATTAATAGTTTTGTCTTGATTATATCCTTGTATTGTAATGTTGTGTTCTTGATCTCGATTGACCTGCGATAATTTATTTTTTAGTATGCCATCTTTTTCTTATTTGTGTTTTCTGAGTCTTCCAAAACATTCTTCTGATTAGATCAAACATTTTATACAGTCATAATAATGAGTTAAACAAATTATTAAAAATAATTTCCCTTTCAGGAATAATTTGGCGATCATGAACTTCGAAGATCCAGTTTCTGATCACTTACATGAAATTGCACAATGTTTGATCAGGGCAGGGATTCGGTTATTGATGACTCGTACGTAAGTTCTTTCATGATAAACGACTTCCTCATGATTCGATATAAAATGTTCTTTCGACTTCCTGTCACAAAGTTTCTAAAATAACTTTATTTATCGCCTATCGCTTGTTCAATCGTGTGTGAAAAAGTATATATCTGTCCCCTAAGCTGTCTGTGGGCATAGGGAGTGGGTGTTTATTATGTATCGGTGTTCACTATTAAACATTAACGTGATTATCGATGCTTCTCGTAACATACACACCTCTCCGCGAACGGATGAAGTCCGAGTTGATGACGCCTCTTCGCAGCCAAAACGGAATCACCGCCTACAGTGGGGCATTTCCTCCCCGAGTGGCACCCGTCTCCAGAGGCAGAGCGTGTGACCGCGGTCCAGCGATGCTGCGTCGACCTTGAACCTCGGTTACGTAAGTGCTCCGCGAGGCGGGTCGCGGCGCTGCGGGGGCGTCTGCGAGAGAGGTGGCAGGTCGCGGAGTGGGACGGAGAGCTTACCAGCCCGCCCGCCCGCGCGCGTGCAGGTGGCAGGCGGATGGCGTCACGCGCGCGAATAGACCGTCCCGTCGCTCGGCGCGGCGCGGCGCGCGGCCGCCGGGGCCGTGCCGCCGCTAACGGACCTGCACGCGCCGCTCCGCCTCGCTGCTATCGCGCTGGTAGAGCGTCGTTTGCGCAAGACGGGGCCGATGTGCGCCTGCCTGCGAGGGCGCCGCCGCCGCCGCCGCCGCCGCAGCAGCAGCCGCTCGGACGTTGGTCGCCCGCGCCGCGTTCCCATGCGCTATTGAATGTGGCCATCCCCCCTCGTTAAGTTTGAGCCCGCCACTTCATAGCCTCTTCCGACTCGTGGTTGCCCACTCTGTGCTGTCTGAGCGGCTTGCTTCGCCTTACTGCTCTTCCGTGGTGCCTCTGGGGGCTTGCTTTGACGCGACGCGACGCACGATCTCCGTTCGCCCCGGGGTTATTTCCAACTCATTGGCCTTCCTTTCCCTTTCTCACCTCTTACTCCTCGTTCGTTACACCCACACTTTTGGTCAGTTTTATTGCGCATTATCCATTTTTTGTCAATATTTCGTACCCGTAATAGTTCCCTCCTCCGCGTATCGTCTTCCGTCCTCCTAATCCAGCACTTTCTCCCTTCCCCGTCCTGCATTCATGAAATTAAAGCCAATTGTGTTTAACTATACGAATAAAATACCCCAATTAAAGCGGTGTATATCAAAACATTATCTCTTTTTCCATCCAATTTTTCTTACAGCCCTCTCTGACTCATATAAGCTACGACTCGTCTATCTTACGAGGCGGTATGTATCAATCGCTGTGCAATATGCCGCGTATGTAA